ACATACACACACACACACACACACGCATATATATTCTGTCACTTGCAGGGAAATGGATGGATCTGGAGACCATCTTGTTGAGGCAAATAAACTAGACTTATAAAAACAAATTATCACATGTTCTTTCCAATATGTGGAATCTAATAAAGTTAAATAGGAAATTGTCATTAGACAAGAGGAAAGGAAAAAGAGTGAGGAAGTGAGAATTTAAGGACAGGTAATAAGAAGGATAGATATGAGCAAAATATAGTACATGAATTGAATGCTTCCAAAAATGTGAAACTGAGGAGATGGTTGGGCAAAAGAGATAATGGAAAGGCTATGAAAATGACCAAAATATGTTATGTGCAAATAGGAATCTGCCAAAATGAATCCCATTGACTTGTATAAGCAATTTTTTAAAAGGAGTGAGAAGAAAAGAAAACACAACTGAACTTCATACTCATGATGGAAGAAACATAATCCTTTACTTGTCTTCTAAATTTGTGGTAAGCAAAATTTTAGTTTCAGCTTTTCCAATCACATGGGCTCTTTTATAATTACTCAACACTGATCTCACAGCACCAACACAAGCATGGGCAACATGCAATGAGTGCATGTAGCTATATTTCAATAAAACTTTATTTACAGAAACAGAGTAAGCTGGGCTTGCCAGAGGGCCACAGTTTGCTGAACTCCATCCTGAATGATTCTCATGTCTACTAGCTATAAAATTATTGTATATTACTTGTTCCTTGAAATTACTTATCATAGTGCTAAGTCTATAAGAATGTTTTGTAGACAGGCTAGGTGCCTTCCATTTTATAAAAGTTCTAGGATAAAGTTGTATATTACTTGTTCCTTGAAATTACTTATCATAGTGCTAAAAGTCTATAAGAATGTTTTGTAGACAGGCTAGGTGCCTTCCATTTTATAAAAGTTCTAGGATAAGCACATATAAAAGGAAATAATATTTCTCCCCCCCAAAATAAGAAAGACCTATGGCTCAATACAAAGACACCAAATATTGTGCATCTTCTCAGGGATTAAGAGCTGGGAGACACAAAGCTGGTAGGATACTACTAAGGAGAAAGTTTGTTAAGGATAAATTATAGAAAAGTCAATGCAAGTGACAAGATTTTTGTGATAGTCAGCTTTCCTTCACTGTGATGGAATACCTGAGAACAACAATGTAAAGGAAGAAAGGCTTATTTTGGTCACAATTTCAGAGTTTTTCAATACATGTTTGTGTAGCTCCTCTGCTTTAGTTCTGTCAAAGCAGAAGGATGTGGCAGAGGAAAGCTATCCACTTGTGGCAGCCAGAAGCAATCAGAGATAGTAAGAGAAAGAGGAAGGAGTAAGGGACACGATATACCATTCAGAGGCATGCACCAGTAACCTGACTACTCCAAATGGCCATTCCTCCTAATAGTTCATTTATCCATGAATTCACCTGTGGAGTAATGTGCTTATGATCCAATAACTTCTATGGGCTCTACCTCTGCACACTGCTGCACTGGAGATCAAGCTCTCAATACATGAGTATTTGGAGGGCACTTCACATATAAACTATAACATTCCATCCCTGGCCCTTAAAGCCCCATGTCCACTCTGTTATGCAAGATCCATTTAGTCTATCTCCAAAAGTTGCTGAAGGCTTAAAAATTCCAGCATTACTCAAAAGTCCAAACCCAATGTCCCCTCTGAGACTCAAGGCAAACTGTTAGCTTTAAGCCCCCGTAAAAAATCAAAAAGAAGCTACGCAAGATGGAATAGCATAGAGTAAGCATTTCCTTTCAAAAAGGAAGGAGCACTGTAATACAAATAGGACCAAGGCAAGACTCAATCCCACTAGAACAAATGTCAATTCCCATAGCTCAATGTCTGACATCCACGGCACCAAGATATAAGCTCCATGGTGCTTGAGAGGCCTTGGGAGCTGCATCTCATTTGCCCACTCTCTTGGGCTGGCTCTACTCGTTACCTCTGGCTTTCCTTGGCAGATATTCCACATTCCTGGCGTCTTCTCTAACTTCCTGAGTCTCCATTAGAACTTTGGCTTTGTTCTCACAGCTTCTGAACCACACGGTCAGGTGGAGTCACTGCAATGATTCCACTTCTCATACCAACCCTCCAGGTTAGTCAATTTTTTTGTCATTATGGCAAGATAACTGCATAGATCAACTTAAAAAAGGAAAGGTTTGTTTTTTTCTCACAGACTTGGAAATTTCAGCCCATGATCAGCCCCAGTTCCATTTATTTTAGCCCTGTTTCAATGCATAAATGTCATGATACAGCATGTGGCAGAGGCAAACTTCTCACCTCATGGCATCCAGGAAACAGAGAGAATAAGAGAGACAAGAAGGGGCCCAGTGTTCTGAATTTTCTTACCTTGACTACCACCCTACAGCTTTTTTTAAAAATCAAAGCTGTGTGAATCAATAATTTCTTTTTTTAGTTAAGCTAGGGCTCAGTAAACTCAGATCTGGGGATCACGCCTAGCCCATCATGTTTTATATCACCTGTGAGCTAAGAATGACTTTTATAGACAAACATTTGTAACCAATTTGATGATAGAGAAAATGAAATTTGAATCCCAATTAAGTAAAATGTTTTCCTCCTCAAAATAAGATTTCTGTATTATTAGTAGATCTATGTTACAAAAATGTAAGTCCAATCACTAGACTTTGAATTTCATCAATGAAACATTTGTGAAATTTTATCTTCTTTTTGGTCACACAAGTGCTCACCTAATAATCTTTACGTCACCCCTTGGCCTGTGAGTTCCCTTTCATAAAACCAATTTCTCAACCCTATGTTAAGTTAGTATATGTCAGTTTTCTGCATGATATGAATTTTCAAAAATCACATCAAGCAGTACTATTATTTTAAGGGAAGTAATGAACGTGACAATTTCTATGTTTCTTTCATAAAAAATCTAGCCATAACCACTAAATTAACTTCCTGAAAGGTCTCCAGCCATCAGCCCCAGCTCCCTCAAACTTAAATATGGTCCTCTTAGCTGTTGTTTCTGTCCTTTGAGCCTTTGTTTGTTTGTTTTTGGCCTTTGATGCTGTGATTCTCTGTCTCCTATACTCCTATCAGAAATCAGAACAGATATAGACCATAGGATGGTGTATGCACTGTAAAATAATCACTATGTGATTATAGGGACCTCACTACTTTTCTATGTTCCAGCACATCCATTAACAGTGAGTCCTTCATAATAGATTTTTATTGAAATTTAACAGAATTAACTAATTATTTATTCTCAAAAGGTAGCACTTTCCCTGGAGGAAAAAATAAAAGTCAGAAGATCTGGCTGTGTTTCTGTATGGATGGCATGGACTATCATTCTAATAAAAGAACTACCACTATCCAGTTTTATTTTTCCTAACTGGGTACAGCAGACAGGACTTCCAGCGTCTTACATGGTTACTAGCTCATGACTGGTCATTGAGAGCATGCTGGACACAGTGATTGGCTCAAAGATGGACACATTACCTAATCAAAGCCAATCAGATCAAAATTTAGGAATGATGCTTGAGTTTAAAGATGGGCACATGACCATGTTTCAGCTAATCAGATCTTATCACAGAGCATGAAGGTATATGTAGAGGGATCACAGAATCTTTTGGAGAGCGGGGGAGGGGAACTCCTAAGAAAGAAGTCAATACATAGGAAAGTTGAGCAGAGAGACAGAAGATAGAGAACAAGGGCTGGTAATGTAATTTTAAAAAGTAGATTCAGTGGTGCCTGAAGTTAGAGCTATTACCCTGGGCTATTCAATTACATGAAGAAACTCTTTTTTTCTGCTTGAGCCAGTTTAAGCTGGGGTTTCTATCACTCACAATGGAAATAGACAATCACTATATAACGTGGCTGTCTGAGGTAGTGTTCTAAAAACACAGTCCCTGAGACAAAGATCCAAATGTGAGTCATTTGAGAAGTGCTCCCAGGAAGTACCTGTTTGGGCCAAGGAATAGAGACAGGAAAGGAAGGCAGCTAGAATACAGTGTTATTCTAGAATTGGCTAACCCTGGACAAGCAGAGCTCAGTCCTGCCAGAGAACTGACAGAGACAAGGGAGGACACACACTTCAGAGCAATCCTACTTCATTGCTCCAGGAACAAGAAAAATGGGCTTTCTATCCTCCATGTGGCCATCACTGGCTCTGAGGCTGTTGTCAGGGGTGTTAATGCCTTCATACCTGCAGCCTGGCCCTAGCATGAGAAGGCTCTCAGGAGAAGACTTCACAGGCCTGGGGGCATGTGGGAGAACCCAGAGGCACGTGCTGGGATGTGCTGGGATGCTGACGAGGAAATGCATGCTCACTGGGTCTGCTGTAGTGACCACCAGCATCTGGCTATTCCTGAGCTCATTAGCTTCACTTAGGAAATTGGGTGACAATCATATCTGTGATTTCTATTTTATAGAGTCATTGCAAGAATCAACTGTGATTGCATGTTGGAAAGGACTTCCTTAACAGGCAGCAGGAGGTTAAATCTACAATCATGCAATACTATTATTGTGGTGTTGTTTCCTCTTCCTTACTTATTGCAAAGAAGCAAGAATCAGCTTAGGTGGAAAGCACAGACCACCTAACTTGTGCACACATTGTCTCTTATGTATTAAAATGCCCCAACAAAGTGGCTTAGGGGGTCACAGGAACCCTCAGCTTCCAGCCGTAACCATGTCGTCATCTCTTTCTCTGTCCTGTCTGCCATCTGCTGCCCCTCCTGGAATAGTGCTATGATTGCCTTCTAGAAGTCACCCTCTTCTACATCATCCTGATGAGTGAGGTGGGCCGACCCCCTGCTCTGACTCCAGAGGTAGAAGAATTGAGTCCATTTGACAGAGCAGCAAGAGATAGAGGCTGCTGGGGACTTGAGAGCAAAGTCACCACAAGCCCTTGATGGCACTCACTTCTCCTTCTCTGTCTCTCTTTCCGTTCTCACATCAGGTAAAGAAGTATCACTGGACTGGGGACAGAAGACCTGACACTACACCAAAAAACTGACCTTGAGTCTCCGGGCCTTAGCTTCCTTTGGCCTTACTCCTCTCAGAGATGGGAGCTCAGTGGGCCGAGCTAGAGCCAGTCCTGCCTGTCACCCAATGTTTGTGGTCAGTCCTTGGCAACTTCTTCATGAGCTCCATCATCTGTACTCCTACAGGGAGTGAGAGGTGGGCAAGCCAGGCTGTAGAGAGAAGACAAGGACATCAAGTAGCTAAAGAGCTGATGTCTGTCTGTGTCCAGCAAGAAGTATGGAAAGTAAGAACGGGTAATGTTCTGGGGGAGACAGCTGCAAACACCTCAACAATAAGACAGGTGGATGTCACGTGTCCTAATAGAGCGTTTCACTTCCGGGCTTCTCTTCCTCCAACTCCAAAACTCCAGTTCACTCACAGAGAGAGGAGAGGAGGAGCGACAGGGAGGGGAGGGGAAGAGAAGTACAAACTGAGGAACCTTCCACAAAACACCTGACTGGTACTCTTCGAATACTAGTCCGAAAAACAAGGGAAGACAGAAACTGTCACAGACCAGAGAAGTCTAGACGGACGAGACAACTCAAATGCAAAGTGGAATCCTGCCTGGACTATCTTGAGACCCAAATGGAATGTCAGAGAAAAGTTAGTGAAACCTTAAGTTCCTTTAATGGCAATGTGGAAATGTTGTATTCTTTACAAATGTGTCATAGCCGTGTGGGGTGAAAAACATTACAGGAGCTTGGTAAGGGCTATAAGAATTCTGTACCATCTTTGCAACTTTTCTGTTAAGTTGGAAGTCATTTTATAAATGACATTTTATTTTTAAAAAGAAAAAAAGAATCCCCTTCCATCTTGCTATTTCCTCCATAAAGCAGTCTGAGGGGGCAGGCCCAGAGAGGAAGCAGAAACAGCCTGGAGACAGAAGTGAGTATCTTAGCCAGCAGTAACGCACTGAATTATGCCCTCCCCCAAATTCTCACGTTGAAACCTTCACCCTAACGTGACGACATTTGATGATAAGCTGTTAAGGAGGCAATTCAGATAAACATGGTCACCAGGGCGCAGTCTAAGCTAGTGGAACTGGTGTTCTTCCGAGTCAAGGAAGAAACCACAGCCTCTCTGCAGACACACTGGAAAGGTCATGGCCCATCACAGAGAGCAGATGTCATCTGCAAGCCAGGACCAGGTGCTTCAGCAGAAACCGACTTGGAGGGGCCCCTAGATCTTGGCTTCTAGCCTCCAGAGCTAGAGTTCTTGCAAGTTTCCCAGGCAAGTAGACCAGGAGACAAGCCGTGCTCGATGGAGAGGAGAGGGGAGGGGAGGAGAGAAGGAGAGAGTGGGAAAAGAAGTTGAGCTGTGGCGCCATCACTGTCACCCGGGGCGTGTGAAGCCGGGGCCGTCTTGGGTGCAGTTTTGGGTGCAGTCCGGACTAGGGTGAGAGGATGGGCATCTATAGTCTACACCGGCCGGAGACGGGGTGCAGAGACGGGGTGCAGACGGCGCGGGAAGTAGGTAAAGCGTCTCTCTGCAGCTGCAGCAACCCCTGAGGTGCGATGCGATGACACCGGGAGAGCAGCCCCAGCGAGTGCCTCCTGCTCCCTACAGCGACCGCAACCCAGGGCCTACCCTCCTGGCAGGGCGGGAAGAAGCAAGACAAGTGAATCCCAGCCTCAAGTCTTGCTACTCCAATTTCATATCCCTCCTGCCATAGCTCGGCTGCCCCTAACTGAGGGAAATGTTTAAAATGAACGAAAAATTGGAGTTTTAAACCAGAGAGTATTTTAACAACTCGTAGGTAATATACGGTTGTGTGAGCCACCCCAGATATCCTGATGGGATCCACCCTCCAAAGGGAAAGAATTCACTTGAGCAGGAGCTCTTCACTCATGGGAAAAATAGAACCCCCTCACTCAGCAGGCCCGCTGTGTGCGGCTCATGCGCTGTGATCTTACAGCAAAAGCTCACTTGTCCCTTAGAATGCATTGCATTTGGGGAAAATTTCACAGTCCTCATTCTACAAAGCTCCATATGACCCGGTGCCCTCACCAGCTTTTCTCTCTCACCGTCAAATTTCTTTGCACGTCAGAGCCTTTGCGTTTTGTCAATCCCTTTATCTGAGATTCCCTCCTGCTCTCTCTCCACAATTCCTGTTCATCTTTAGGGTCTCAGGTTGAAAAACGCTTACTTGGGGAGGCCTCCCCCAAGCTACAGGCGCTCGGAGCAGCTGGGAACAGAGATGTGCTTGACTGTCAGGGTGAAGGGAAGCAGGCTCTGGAGGAAGTTCCCCTCCCAGCCACGACACTGGGCAAGCCCAAGTGCGCAGGCACTTTTCAGAACTCTGGTTTGCATCATCTGCTAACGCCTCATTGGCCAAAAGCAAGTCACATGGTCAACCCATGACCAATCAAAGGGCAAGTACATTCAGTTGCGTGAGAGAAGTGGAAATGTCAGGTGACCAAACAATGGAAGACCCAGCGAGAAGTGAAAAAGCAAAGCATTAAGGCTAATCATTCAACAAACCTCATCCGGCCCATTTAAACTCTCTACAACCGGCCATACCTGATGTTTTTTGCATTGCTTTATTTGCACAACCAAGCACAGTCTATGTGCGCGGTAAGTGTCTCTTAAAGTTGTGCTAAACAACATTTTAAATTCCAAAGAATACGGTGCAGATGAACTTTTGTAACCCTATCCATTTCAGAGACAGGAACGGCTTATAATGTGAGGCTGCATGAAATATATTCCCCCAGAAAGGTAACGGCACATGTGCTAGGCTCTAAATCAGCCATCAATGAGCTACTATCACCGTATCTTCAAAGGATTACACAAACGATGGCTTTGAAGAATGCCTTCGCCTTGCCAGAATTATGATTTGTTATTCATCTTGTGGATTTTTAAACAGAACCTTGTACTTAGTATTCAAATTAATGACTCCAATGTATTTGCCTGGGTTTTTTTTTTAAAGAATCATTTTGCACAATACATGTAATAGTTACATTTCTATGATAAACTTACTTGGTAAAAGCTTTCTCAATTTTATCATTTAGACAAGTAGATATCAGTAAATCACACTTGAAAGCCAGAGTAGTGGAGGGGGAGAGAAGCTTGCAAACCAGGATGGGAGGCAAGCCTTCAGCTCCATAAGGACGGCAGAAGGATAAACGAAGGAGGAAAAGGCTAAACCTACATAAAAGACCAGGAAAATGTTTCAGAATAATCCCCCCACCACCGGCAACCTGTTATCTTGCACTTTCCTGATTAGATTCACTAAAAACCCTTCTAACCTAAGAACAGTTTGATGAAAGCTCAAGAAACTTGAAAATAGGTTTAAATTCTGGATTTATCCTTTCCTAACTCTGCAAAACCACCCCTCAAAATAAAATGACTTAAATTTCTATGCCTGGATTTCACTGTCTGCAAAATGGGACAGAAGATCAGGGGTGGTGGATACAAAACAAGTTCTTTCTCACAAAGATGCTATTGAGATTTAAAAATCAGATACATCATTTATGCCCAAATGCCTGACCGTAAACCCAGGCTGGTCTCTGAAAATTATTTCATGAACTTACTCCAGGATAAGAAAAACACAATGGCATGGGCTGGTTATGCCTCCCCCCAAACAGGTCAAAGTTCAAGCCAGTGATATCCGTGAATGTGACCTCGGGAATGTAATCGAGTATGATGAAGTCATTCAGGTGGCCCCAGTTCAGTACCACGGTGTCCTCACAGACAAAGGGGAGGGCCACCAGAAGAGCAAGTGAATGCGCCACGACGGCGGAGGCCGCCATTGGGATGGTGCAGCTGCAGGCCGGGAACAGCAAGGACAGCAGCCACCGCCAGACCCTGGGAAGAGGCCAAGAGAGATTGGTTCAGAGTTCAGAGTTTCAGAGGGCTTGGGGTCCAGACGGCACTTGGTTGCCTCCGCTTGATTTTGGACTTCCGATCTTCAGAACTTTGACACAATGGATTTCCGTTGTGAAGCACCCAGTTGGGGATACGTTTTGCAATAATCTACGAAATTAATGCAGATAGTAACACCAAAATCTTAAATACAATTCTATGTTAAGTGAATATTTCATCGTTAAGTTTTTATCCAAGGGTAGAATTGGCTTGGAAAGGCTATTTTTTGTTTTTATTTAAATGTTCCACTTCTTAGTTTTCTCTCCTTTGCCCTCTTGTTGAGACACACGTGTGCCCCTTCTTGTGGTCTCATACACAGACACAGATAATCACTTGCACACATCCATGTGCATCATATAACACGAGACCACTTTCTCTTTCTTGGGTGATGGAGTCTTTTTGTCCTGCTCATTTGTGGTTCTTAAAAATGTGCTAAACGACAGTTTAGTTACTTTGAAATCTACTGTTATGGATGTTTAGCTGAGTGCAAAGTAGAGAAAATTAAAAATAATCAATGAATGCAGTGTGCTGCCTGGCCAGTGTCATCAGCACTTAATTTACTTATTCCCTCAAGCAGCTGGTATTAACTTTGCTGTTTCTACTACTAGTTAGCCATTGCACAGTTGCCTTCAGAACCCCTCCCTCTGGAAGCTGAGATGGCTTAGTCATAGGAGGATCTTTACCACATTTCATTTAAGAGAGCAAAAGGGTTAAGTCTTATTTGATCCTGTTTTCACAAACAGGTCTCAAATTTTGCAAATGTTTCTCTCTCTCTCCCTTAAACTCAGCTGCGAATGGTGCAAAGGGGAACTGCAGTGGACACTGGAGATGCTTCTGCTATCTTCTTAGGCAGACTATGTCCAGGGAGCATGGGGCACACTCTAACCACAGACAACTGAGACCCCTTGCAGGAGGGTTTTGCAGCCTGCCTGAGACATTGGGCCCATCACATGAGGTGGCTGGTTACGCTGGAGACTTCGTCTTCTTAAGCAAGCTGTCAACTTATTCATGATGGGATTTAGGAGGTGAATCCTTTGGCTCCTTCAGGCCTTCTTTAGAATAACTCTAGAGGGCCAGGGATTTTGCTCAGTGGTGCCACCACCTGCCTTGCAAGTGCAAGGTCCTGATTTCAATCCCCAGTACCAAAGAATGACTCTAGAGATCTCTGTCTACACTGTTGCCCCATTTGCGCACAGTCCTGCCTTGTTAGACAATTCACCCTATGCTTGCAGTTCTACTCCTTCCTGTCTCATGTTTCCACCTCTCTGACAGTACTTCTGGCATCAGCTCCCACTCTGCTTGCACTCAAATCATTGCCTTGGTATCAACAGTTTTCAAAATATCATCTCAGTTCGACTCTTAAGGACATTTTCAGACTCTAGTAGGGAGTCCGGAACTGAAAAGGAGAAAACTCAGTTCTTTTTCACTAATATGTTCAAGCAACTGCACTTTTGAAGGTGGTTATGACAATTACTGTTGGTAACACCACAGTTCACCCAAGTAGCAGAAGGGTATTTATGTGTCTGCTCCTAGGCCTCTACTTTTCAACTGGAAAACTCAAATCTCATGTGGTAATATTAGCCTTAAAATATCTTTTTCTTAGGTGACATAAAACTACTTTTAAATTTGATTTCTCTCTAGGTTTGGTTGTTTAATAACATTGTTTCAACTATACATCAGCTGTAGTACCGTCTTGGTGACTACCAAGAAAACATTCTGCCCTGCTTGGTCCAATGGGAAGAGTTGTGGCTTGGGTTTACACCCATGGAAGCCCACTGTAAGCATCTGAGCTCTCTGTGAAGTTAGAAATACATCAAAGCACGACAAGTCTTTGCATCCAGTCTTCAAGTCCAGTGAGGACACTGAGACTATCCAGACCTTATGTTTGATCTTAGATTTTATTTCACTCAAAGGCATGATGGGGAAATTGGGTGACTTGAATGAAGTTTGTATATTACATGTTAATATTACATTGACTTTAAATCTTTAGCTATGGTAATTGCAGTTTTGTTATGTAAGAGAATTGAGAATTTTATTTTAATAAATAAAGAGTGAAGCATTCATGGGTGAAGGAATATCATGTCTACAATGAACTCTTAAATTCTGTAAAAAATCAGGTAGATGGATACATAGATGATAGATGATAGGTGACAGATCATAGATAAATCATAGAGATGATGACATAAAAACAGAGACATAAGCTGCATGTCTGTGATATATAGAGATGGAGACATAGTAAAGAATGAGGGAGAAAAAGCCAGTGTAGTAATATTGAGATTTGGGGAATCTGGATACTGTTTACTTAGAAATATTTTGTACTATTTTTGTAACTTTCTTTAAGTCAAAAATTATGTCAAAATAATTGCTTTAACAAACACAGCCTTACCTTTTCAACTAGCAGTGTATGTGTGCGTCGCACAGGGCTGGTCTATATCCTGCATGTGTTTCAAGAAATAAAAGATCTCTCCAAGGGCATAACTTACAACTGTGTAACTCCTGTAACTAAACAAAGAAAACTGCTTATATTTGGTTTGGAAAGAATCTCTCCATCTCATAGCTGAGATTGTACTCCACATTTGGTCTCTTTTCACTTAAAAACAAAGTGTTTGAAGATGGCTCAGCAGCTAGAATTTTATCCCTACACGACTTGAGTGCTTTGATTACCTTTGGCACACTTTATTTGGACGTTTAAGTGAACAACTTATCTTTATCCACATGAGGATGGTAAACATACTGTTATCGTAATTAGCTCTTAATAGTTCCATTATTTGGTTCTAGAGTTTTCCTATTACAATACTTCCATTGTTCCACATGCCTATGGACTTTTAGAAAATGATTGAAGGTATTATTAACTCTTTAGAAGTTTTTGTCTCAGCAAAAATAGTACATCTGTCTTTTAGCCTCAGTTGATTCCCATCACTCAGTCATTTAAATTGTAGTCCTGAACTAGTCATGGAATATGCCCTCTCTATCACACAAAGCACATGAAACCAGAGACATAGAGTGTTTTGAGAAGAGCTTTTCCTTTTCCTTTCCAGCTCCAACAGATTATAATTTCTAAATGGAACAATAATAGTATTTCCTGCCCTACATGATCTTCCAAAACTTATCACACTTCATCAAGATGTGAAGTCATCGTCCCCTGAGTGGGCCTTTTTGTCTGTCTCGGGATAAACTAGGCCATATATCTTCTGAGTGCAGGTCACAAAAGGTAACCTGGCTTCTACCAAGTTTAAAGCATTTGCCTTTAGAATCCAGCCACCATGCTGTAAGGAAGTGCAGGCCACATAAAGAGGCGAGTTGGAGAGGAGTCGAAATCCCCATCCCACAACCACATAACTGCCAGTACCAATTCAGCAGCAATGCGAGGGAGCCATATTGGATGCAGGTCCTGAAACCCTTAGTCAAGCTCCCAACTAACGCCAAGTGTAGTAGCGTCAG